TATATGGAGAAAAAACAATTTTTCGTAGAAATGGTATAAAACTCTTGAAAATCAATATTTTTCGACCGGAAAACTGTGGTTCTCTTCAGGAGACTTCCAGTATTAATATCCAATTGATTATTTAACCATTTTTTTATGATAAAAGATTTTTCATTGATCCCCCCATTGCATTTTCTAAGGGCTTTGGAGGACCTATAAAATATAGTTACCATGAAAAAGTGGTTAAAAAAACAATTGAGTATTATTACTGGGAGTCTTCTGAAGATAAGTAAAGTTTTCCGAATATTGATTTTCAAGAATTCTACACTATTTCTACGAAAAGATGTTTTTTCTCAATATAAAATACATGGAAAACTTTGAGCGCTTTGAGCACTCCCTAAATATTTTTTGATTTCAAAATAAAATAATTGGGGTATATTTTTTTCGATATAGATCAATCCTAGGGTGTGCCGGCATTAAAACTCCAACTTTATTTTTTTGGGCCACTCTAATGTACATACAGTGGCGGGTAAATAAATAGGGAGGTGACATTTTAACAAGTTCTAGCAATTTTCCATTTGTTTATTTCAGAGATGGAAAATAATGATTATTTTTTTTAATTTTAACTAAAAAATTCAACATATATTTTTCGAGGTTAACCAATGCAATTATCATTACATGAATTTTATTTTTTCGCGCAAAGATAATAATTATTATTGAATTTTATTTTTTATTTAAGAATGATGATTATTTAACAACTCAAAAACTACACTGGCGTGATTTCCGAGTGATCCTTTCCAGAGGTAGCGACATTATAAATGGAATAAGTCCCAAAATATTCAAGCCAAAATTTCAGTTGGTTGAGTTTTTCATAAAATCATAATTTTTAAGTGGAAAAAAAATCAATAACAATTATTATTTCTGAACGAAAAAATAAAAACCATAAAATAATCATTATTTGTGATTGAAAAAATTCAGATCAAATAATAAAAATTTTGTCGAGCGAAAAAATTTTAAAACATAAAATCATCATTAAATGCTGATTTTTTACTAAAGTATAGCTCACTTTACTACATAACAAACTCCATGTAAGTCCGAATTTCAGACTTTATGAAAAAATTAGGAAAATTCGACAACGTCTCATTAATATTTCAAATTTTTTAATCAGGATTTTTATAAAAATTGTTGCTGCTAAAATTGGAAAGCATTTTCTTCCACACAAAGTATATTTCACAATTTCTTATATGCCAAAAGTCAATGGAAGTCTTAGCTCCTTCAAGCTTACAAAAATTCAAAAATTTTCTAATTTTGAAATTTTCATGAACATTTGTCAAAATTCGCGGAATTTTTATAAATCTTGTACAAAGTCTGAAATTTTACTTATGTATATGTTTTTTCTTAGATAGTGGTCTGTACTGTTATAAAAAAAAAATAATAAACATAAAATAAACAAAAGAAAAATAGCTAAAACTCGTTAAAATGTCACGTCACTATTTGTTTGCGCGCCAGCGTACATTTAATAGTGAACACACATAATTGGGCGATTCATTTGCTTCAGCTTTTACCTTAAAAATGGATTATTTTAAAATTTAATTTCCATAACTAAAAGAAGCTTTTACATTCGGCTTCATTTGCAGAAAAAAGTGGAACCATGGAAACTTTACACCATGGTCTCCGGCCTGTTGTCTGTAGATTTAGTTATACTACTCGCTTGGCAGATGTTTGATCCGCTACAGCGTATACTTGAAACATTCCCACTCGAAGATCCCGTATTGACATCCGATGATATTAAAATACGTCCAGAATTGGAGCACTGTGAAAGTCGACACAATTCAATGTGGCTGGGTAAGCAAAATTAATTGAAGAAACTGTACTCGCTAATGCAAAGCGTTCAATTTTTCTCCACCTCTTCTAGGCCTCGTTTACGGCTTCAAGGGTCTAATACTCGTATTTGGTCTCTTTCTTGCCTATGAAACACGTTCGATTAAGGTGAAACAAATTAACGATTCCCGTTATGTGGGCATGAGCATTTACAATGTTGTTGTGCTGTGTTTAATCACAGCACCGGTGGGCATGGTCATCGCATCGCAACAGGATGCCTCATACGCGTTTGTTGCATTAGCTGTGATATTCTGCTGTTTCCTAAGTATGCTGCTGATATTTGTGCCAAAGGTGAGTGGAATATATTCGTGTTTTTATCTAAATTTATTTAGCTGCAAATCTTAGATAGCTTCCGATTGCACTCACCAACTAAATGCAATGTAATTTTTTTTACTTACTCTAAAAGGTCATTGAGGTGATACGACATCCTAAGGATAAAGCCGAATCAAAGTACAATCCCGACTCGGCTATCTCGAAAGAGGATGAGGAGCGCTATCAGAAAATGGTAACCGAAAACGAAGAATTGCAACGACTGATATCACAGGTATGATGTAGAAATGTGCTAATTACGTGGTTAGACTATTTGAAAAAACAAAATTTTAACATCGCTTCTATGGGTCTTAAGGATCAATAGATTAAAAAGTCTAGATTGGGATAGCGTGCAAGATAAATCTACCCAACTTTAGGGAAAATGAAAACTTGGATGTTAGTCGGCCATAGGCAGGAGTTTAAATTAACGTATACTGCCGGCAAAAAGTATGGGCACAGCAAATTTTTCAAAATATATGCATTAGATTTTTTTCTAATATTTTTCCGCCAATTTTTTTATAAAAATATGGTTCATTCAACAACAAAAAACATAAAAATATAATACCTAAACTTTGTGCAAAACTCTCAAAAATTAAGCAAATTTTTACGCCAATTTTCAACTTTTCAATCAGATTTTTTAGAATTTTTTCGAGTATGCAGTCCATTAAATTCTAGTAAACAACTGAAATTTCTGAGTTAGTCAAAAATCGCATTGCTTTTTGAGATTTTTTTGTAGAAGCTGTCTTGCATTTTTTT